GGCGACTGGGATATTCACCCAGAAAGTGGAAGATGTAGGTTGATTCCTCCAGGCAAAAAAGGAATCCGAAGCAGGGTCTACCACATTCTGAACAAATGCTTTAGCTAATAGTCCTTAAAAAGCAGCGGCAGCACCTCCTCTTCCAACTGTCTTCTAAAGCCGTCGCTGTACTTTACAGGAGACTGACTCTGCAGCACATGTTGGGCGTAATCGGAGAATTCTCACCTGACTGAACTCCCCGGGAGACTACGGCAAAATAACAACATCCAGAAAGCAGACAATCACGAGCCAGGCACCATGCTCATCATCTCTCATAGGAGCAGAAAAAAATGCAGATATCCTAGGAACTTTAAAGCTATTAGCTATACTGTGTACAGTGCTTAGGCACCTTCAGAGCTTGATGATAAAAGACTGAGGGTTTTCAGGACTGCAGTTTTGACCGCAAGCAGACAGAACAGTTCTATTAAAAGTATTTCTATGGACCTACTTATCGATAACAGTTAGGGGAGAGGGGGATCAGAATCAGAGGTATAACCTCACGTCAAGATTGCACTGAGCACTTTCATGTCTTCCCAAACTCATTACTGAGAGACAATTAACACTAAACCACAGAATACTCCTGCAGAGTGAACATTATATTGAAAATAGGAACACTTGCCAATTAATTCCAATTTAAGTTAGCGCTCTACCCAGAGCTCATCTTTTTACTTAATGCAAATTAGCAAGCTGCATAGGGTTAAAAAGCTACCCATTATAACAAGCGCACGTCTGACATCTATCAGTTTGCCTATTTATTTAATCATTACAATTTTCCCCCCAATATATTACTGTTAATTTAATCTATGTATTTGATTTGCAGCACCCATTCTCTGGGCAGAATCCCACAGATATCCCCAAGCACGTGTTTGCTTTGGCACATTGTTTAAATAAACCTATTGGAAAACGCACAGAGATAACAGACAATAGAAGAGTGAGAAAACCATCTACGCTAATTATTTTAAATTCACGTGTAGGGTTTCAGTTATCTACATAGTATCAATGCATGCAACACGGTAATTTCAGCATTATCCTATCACTCACGTAAGAGGTTTCAACATTTGCTCTCTAAGCGCAGTGATCCTTTGTATGAAGCGTCACCATGCTAGCTTTACAAGGACAACACTGCTGATCAGTATACTATACAAAAGACTAAGTACGGTACTTCCCAAATAATAAAAACTAATTGAGCAACAACTCGTGCACAACACTTCCTCAATTTTGCATATAATATTCAATCCCCTAGCTTACGTTACTGATTTAATAATGTAAAGGTTTTGGCTGAACAGTCAGCTTCAGGTTCATAAATACAATTGGAAGGCATTCCCAGAGCACGGTCTCTGGGCATCCTGAAATTTCTCAGCAAACAGTAATTGGGAAAGATCTCTGCTTCTTTCTCCCCAGCCACTCTAAACGGCACGGGATTTTTTGTGTCGCAATTTACAAATTGTTTTTTTTGTTATCCATCTACTCTATCCTATTACACAAAGGAGAACAAATGCCTTATGAATTACATTTCACTTGCACTACATCAGCACATTTAGGCACAGGCAAGAGACGGAGGAAACTACCAGATGCAGAGCGGAGGGCTCTGCACGCAGCATCCTACAAAAAACCAATCGAAGATGCCCAGCTACACGGCACCCTCACAAACTCATTTGCAATTTGAAACTTGTCAAGAAAGGCAAATATTAGAAGCGATGCACTTAAATCTGAAGAGTTAACTACACTCGGTGACCCAGCATCAATTGAGCCGGGGGGGG